GAAATTAATATATATTTTTTAATATTTAATTATATTTGACTTTTTAATGATTGTGTGTAGGCCTTTCCCATTTTTTCTCTCTCTTAAGAAAAATGTAACAGTTAGTATCCTTTTGGGTTTGTTTTAACTCGCATTTTTTGCAATTCGAATTACTGGTTTCCCATTTTCGGTTGTCTGGAAACCTACCAAACAGGCCCTTGGGCTCAGCTCAGGTCCAGTCAACATAACTAGTACAAAACCCAAGACACGCCAGGAGGATTGGGTCTATACCCAAACAATGTGGATTGTGGGCCTGCCCTTATTCCAGCCCAGCCTGTCAAATGGACAATCCTCACAAATACGCTTTCAATATATATATATATATATATGAAGATTAAAATTTTATTTTGCTATCTTTACTTTAATAAAATATTTATTTTTAATTTATTTACTTAAAGAAACCCTCTTTTAACCCCTAAAATTTAAAATCTAGCTCTTTTTAGTTTTTTTGTTATTTTTTTTACACATAACATGTTAAATAATAAAAATTTCAAAATAAAAGAACCAAAAAAGGAATAATTTTTTATCCTCTACCTTAAAAAAAGCTCTATTTTGATCCTTTATTTTTTTTAAAAAAAAATTTTAGCCCTTTTTTTTTTGAAACTTTTATTAAGATAATGTGTCATGTAACAAAAATAACTAAGAGATTATAAATAGATTAAAATTTAAATGTCAGGGATACAAAATGACTTTTTAAAATAAAAAAAATTTCAAAATACATTTTTATTAAAGTAGACGGAAAGCAAAAAGTTTTAACCAAATATCAAATCAAAGTAGACTAAAATTGCAAAATCCAAAAGAGGAGCCTTTCAAAAATCCTCATGTAGCATGGTACAAAAAAGAAATAAACTGAAACATAAAACGAAAAAAGAAGAGAAATAAACTGTTTGGTAAAACTAATTGGTTATTATTATTTTTTTTTTTAATTCTAGTGAATAAATTGTTAGATTATTAAAAACAACAATGATCAATAGTCAGATTTTACAAAATAAAAAATTGTTTTTGAGAAAACAAAATAAATAATTGTTAGTTTCAAATACCAAACCCTCTGCAAAATATTCAAGAATAGGTAATATTATAA